GTCAGGCTGGTCTTGAACTCCTGACCTCAGGTGATCCACCTGCCTTCGCCTCCCAAAGTGCTGGAATTACAGGCGTAAGCCACCTCCCCTGGCTGCAACATTCTGATAAACTTTAATTCAACTAAGACTTCTAGGAAACCAGGGGCCCAGCGAGGTGGCTCATGCTTTGTAATCTTAGCACTTTGGGAGGCTGAGGTGGGAAAATTGTTTGAGGCCAGGACTTCAAGACTAGCCTGGGTGATATAAGGAGACTCCCATCTTTACAAAAGAATGGTGACACATGCTTGCAGTCCCAGCTACTTAAGAGGCTGAGGTGGAAGGATTGCTTGAGCCCAGATAAAGGCTGCAGTGAGCTATGATCATGCCTAGGTGGGGCCTGGGCGGATGAAGTAGATGAAGCCTGGCAGAGGCCATTCTCCGAGCCCTGGATCCTGGGTTCCAGACAGCTACGGTGATAGGTGAGGGCCCCAGCGGACAGATCCTCTAAATGGCCTGAGCATTTCTAGACAGCCAAGGGTGGGCCTCGGCTCCATCAGGAAGGGCCTGGGTCCACCAGAATGTAGGAAGGGCCTCCCCAAGGCGGAGCTATCTCAGGTCTCTTCCTTTTTTGGAGGCTCATTGTGTTTTGGAAACATTAAAAAACACCAAAAACAGCATTATGAAAACCACGGTGTATTTTAAGTGTTTATATCTGCCTAATGAACACTCCTGTTTTGGTTTTGTTTGTTTGAGACGGAGTCTCACTCTGTCGCCCAGGCTGGAGTGCAGTGGCGCGACCTTGGCTCACTGCAACCTCCGCCTCCTGGGTTCAAGCGATTCTCGTGCCTCAGCCTCCCGAGTAGCTGGGATTATAGGCACCGGCCACCACATCCAGCTAATTTTTGTATTTTTAGTAGAGACGGGGTTTCACCATGTCGGTCAGGCTGGTCTCAAACTCCTGACTTCAGGTGATCCACTGGCCTCGGCCTCCCAAAGTGCTGGGATTACAAGAGTGAGCCACCACACCCGGCTGTAATGAACACTCTTAATACAGACACACAAATACAGGGCCGTATAGCTGTTCCATTCACAAGATAATTATAGGACTCATACAGGACATTGACCACCACGGGGTAGCAGAGGAGGGTGTGGTCTGAGAAGGGCAGGTTTCCTGAATGATGTCCCATGAATGTCTCAGCTCTCAATCCCATCAGAGAAACTGTCATGCCTGAGTGTATGACGGCATGCAAAGATAATACCACAGGTCAACGTTTTGTTTTTCTTGTTTTCTTTTTCTTTTTTTGAGATGAAGTATCGCTTTGTCACCCAGGATGGAGTGCAGCAGCGTGATCTAGGCTCACTGCAACCTCTACCTCCTGGGTTCAAGTGATTCTCTTGCCTCCCAAGTAGCTGAGATCACAGGCATGCTCCACCATACCCTGCTAATTTTTATATTTTCAGTAGAGACGGGGTTTCACCATGTAGCCCATGCTGTTCTCGAACTCCTGACCTCAGGTGATCCACTAGCCTTGGCCTCCCAAAGTGCTGGGATTACAGGCGTGAGCCATGGTGCCGGCCAAGTCAGTCTGCGTTTAAGGTTCTTAATGTGGGGCCCAGGCCAGATTCCTCCAACTCCTCAAGACAGGTCTGTAAGCCAGGCCTGGACCCAGGAGGATGACCAGGGCTGACCCTGAGTGGTGAGAGGAAAGCTGCCCCGCATCCCAAAGCAACAGAGCCAAGGGCTACAGGTCTGGCGCCAGAAGTTTGTGACATAGCCCCTGCTGTCCCAAGGTGTGGCCCATAGGTCTGGCTCGGTGGCCAGGAGGGACTGAGGGGAGGCAGAGGGAACCACCATCCCTCTGGGAAGGGTGGCGAATGACTGAGATCGAAGGGGTCAGACCCTCCAAGATGTTCGGGGCAGAGTTTGGAATGACATGGTGACTCTAATCCTCATTTCCTAGAGGGTTGGAGGTGGGAGAGGGAAAGGTGGAGTCTCAGGCTCTTGTGAACTGCGTCTGAGCCTCCACCCGCTACCTCCAGCCAAAGAGCCAGACCCAGCCACCCAAACAGGAGACAGACAGAGCTTCACAGCCACTAAGAATTAAGACCTATTGATTTTCCCCATTAGCTAGAGAATGCCATCAAAGTGCATTAAAACCAGGCAAAGCAGCAGCATCGTGAATAATTAACATCTGCAAATGACAACCCCATGGGGCTGGAGGGAGGCGGGAAGGGACTTCTAGAGGCCTGGGGCACCCTGACCCCTTCTGACCCCCACCCCAGGGAGCCATAGTCTAGGCTGCCCTCCCCTCCCTGTCTCTTGTCCCCTCTCATTCCCTGTCCTCTCCTTAAAGAAACACGAAGTCCACGGCGCAGCCAGTGACCTAAGCTGATGCTGGAGCAGGGAGGATAGAGCACTGAGGCAAGAGTCAGGGGTGGCAGCTCTGCTGTGTGTCACTGTGTGACCTCAGCGAAGTTGCTGCCCCTTTCTGGGCTCAGTCTCCGCCTCTGCACAGTGCAGTGATCAGCCCAGCTGGCCTCTTGCTCAGTCTGTGGTTCTAGACAGGGACAGTGATGTCCAAAGTCACACAGCAGGTCTGCAGCAGAGCCTGGGCCACTGGGCCCTCTCCCCCAGCCCAGTCTATGGGACCCCTTTGTGCCAATCAGAAAAAAGCACCCCTTTGGGTAAACCAGCTGGAAAAGGCCACTCCTTTGAGCACACCAATCTGAAAATGAATGCATGCCCTCTGAATAGATCAATTAGAAAAAGGCACCCTTCTAGGGGAACTATTTTTTTTGTTTGTTTTTTGAGACAGGGTCTCTCTCTGTCTCCCAAGCTGGAGTGCAGTGGCGCGATCTCGGCTCACTGCAACCTTCGTCTCCTGGGTTCAAGCGATTCTCCCATCTCAGCCTCTTGAGTAGCTGGGATTACAGGTGTGCGCCACCATGCCTGGCTAATTTTCCCATGTTTAGTAGAGATGGGGTTTCACCATATTGGCCAGGCTGATCTCTAACTCCTGACCTCAGGCAATCCACCCTCCTCAGCCTCCCAAAGTGCTGGGATTACAGGCCTGAGCCACCGCGTTTGGCCTAGAGGAACTAATTTTTTAAAGGCACCCTTCAGACTAACCAATAAAAAAAAAAAAGTGCCTTTTGGGTGGGCCAATAAGAAAAAGGCAACTCCCCATGCTGTCACAGTTGAAAAGTGCAAGTCTTGGCAGAGCAGAGGTAGGGCTGGATACCAGCCCCCATCCATCTCTCCCCTCCCCTCCCCTCTTCTCTCCCTTACCCCCGACTGTCTCCTATCTGCCAGGGTCTCCTTGTGCATTGTGCACAGCCTAAACAACTGTACATGGCCACTCTGTTCCAAGCCTCCACCTTCTCTGGGCCAAGGAAGCCCAGACCTATTCTTCCAGCCAGTGGAATTCAGTTCCACATGTATCGATGGTCCCTTCCAAGCCTCTCTGCTTCCCCACCTCCAAACTCCTCAGCCCCTTGGCTAACCCAAGTTCCCACTTCGGTCTTCCTCCCACCCATCCTTCTTCCTCAGAGCCCTGGATGGGCAGCTCCGGAACGAATCCCTCCTGCATCTCCCATCTCCGACTGCATTACCTCTGCCTTCTTGCTGCTTTGCAGTGTGCTGTCCCTGCCTTTCACGCCTCTGAGCCTTCGCACACTCTATTCTGTCTGCTGGAAAACCTCCTCTCTTGAGCCCCCTGAAAAAACCCTACTCACTATTCAAGGCCCAGCTTAAAGATCTCTGCCTCTCACTGTCCTCCTCAAATGCCAGCCAGTTCTTGCCTCTGGGCTTTTGCACCTCTTCCTAGAATGTTCTCCCTCCAGATCTGGCTGGTTCCTCCTCCTTCCTCCTCCTTCTCCTCCTCCCCCTGCGGGTTTCAGCTCCAGTGTTCCCTCCTTGGGAGGTATTCCCTGAACACCCCATCTAACTACCTCCCCATCAGCCTGTCATATGTCTCTGTTTTATTTTATTTTTTTAGCACTTTGGACAATCTGAATTTATGTTTCCTTTGTTTATGGGCGCTTCCAGAGCCACTGTGAATGGTTGTGCATGTTGTCAATTGCAGAGGAGGTGAGTGGGGCTGAAACCCAGCCTGGGTCCACACTACGAGCTGGTGCTGGGGCTGTACCTGCTTGGTGGGAAGCAGCTTTTCCTAATCCACATGATGGCACTATGCAGGCAAGCTGCAGCTCCGCTGGTGTCACCTCCTGCAGTGACACCCAAACCCACCAAAGAGGAATGGCACCTGCTCACTTCACTGCTGTGTGCCCATGTCCAACACGGTGCCTGGCACCAGGCAGGTGCTCAATAAACATTTCCAAGCCTGGTGCAGTCGCCACAATCCCAGCTACTTGGGAGGCTGAGATGGGAAGATCGCCTGAGCCCAGGAGTTTGAGACCAACCTGGGCAGCATAGCGAAACCCTGTCTCAAAAAAAAAATACATACATAAATAAATTCAGGCAAACAAATTCTCTTCTGATTCTCCCACTCCCACCCTCTTCCCATACTCCTCAATAAAATACGCTAGGCACTGTGGCTGCTTCGTCGCTGGGTCTCACTGAAGCCAGCCCCAGAACTGGGCCCAGGGTTGGCAAAGGTGACTGTTAAGGGAACATGGGAGGACTCAGGAAGTTGAGGGGTGACTGTGTGAGTTTGGGAGCCCTGGGGATGCTCCCTGAAGCTCTGAGCCCTGTCTATTCCAGAGGTGCTGCCCTGAGCCCCCAGTGCCCCCTCCCAGGGCCCCCCAGCTTCCTGGAGGTGCGCGTGGAGGGGTCAGGTGGCCCACACACTCCCAAGCCCTGGGAGCCCAGTGCGGCCCAGAGAGTCGTGGGCAGGAGGTGGCACTGAGGGTCCCGCTGCAGCAGCCAGGCTCAGAGCGGGGGCAGGATCAAGGCACCGCCCTTCCCTGCGCTCCCCGAAGCCATTTCGCCAGGCCGCCTGGCCGCACCCGCCCGCCCTGCCCGCCTCCCTAGCTCTGGCAGAGAAGGAGTTAACCTCCAGGCTTCTCAGCGTGAATGTAGAGCTATTAATACCCACAGCCCAGCCAGTCTGCCAGAGAAGCCACTGGAGCTGGGGAGAGCAGCGAGCCGGGAGAGCCGCCAGTCACAGCCGGGACCGGGACTCCAGGGGTCAGAACTTTTCTCGAGGACGGCGTGGGCACCGTGCCAACCTCACCTGGCCCTTGCCCATCTTTCAGCTGCAGGTCCCAACCCTCTCTCCTGGAGGCCACCCATGCCACCCACCCCAGCCAAGGAGAACAAACTTTCTTAGGGAAGCCACCTCTGTGGCCGTGCTGGCTGGACCGGGAGGAGCAGACGGTCAGACAGGCTGGACAGACAGGGGTACTGGGGCACGGGACACCTGCGAGCCTGCCCTCCCAGTCCTGCCTCTGACAGACAGCCACAGAGTGGGCAGCTGGGGGACCTAGGGTTCCACGGGGGCAGTGGGGGGGCACCGCCAGACCTCCGTCCACCCACCAACCACCTTGGAGTCCAGGTGTCTGGACACTGCTTCCCAGGGCCCAGCCCCGTGACTGGAACCCTCGCGGGTCACGACAGGAGCTCCCACCAGAGCCCCCGGCTCCTCCACCCACCGAGGCGACGGGCAACCTGAGTGCGAAGGCACAGGTGGCGGGCGGGCAAGTGCAGAGCCCCGAAGCTGACGGGCTGCTGACCCTGGAGCGCCCTGGCTCGGGGACTCCTGCCCAGGCTGGCGACGATGCTGTGGAGGCCACCCCCGGCCACCCCTGCCCTGTCCTGGAGCTACCTCCGGCCTGGCCCATGGGCTGCGGAGTCGATGATGTGCCGGCCTTCTGCTTCGTCTGCTTCCACAGGGAGGAGGAGGAGGAGCTGCTGGAAGAAGTCCCATTGCGGAGGTCAGTGCCTGTGGGTGGCCAGCGGGTGGGCAGTGGGTGGGCACAGCGCTCGACCCGGGGTGTCTCTGGACCTGGCAATCTTGCTTCAAGTCAATCTCTCTCTGTCCACTGCTTACCATGCACTGCCACCTCCTGCTTCAGATCTCAGATCTCTTACCTGGTTGTTGCCACAGCCTCCTCCCTATCTCCCCCACCCTGGCCCCAGAGTGGCTTTCACGTCCTCTTCCACAGTGAGCATGTCCCTCCCCTGCTCAGAGCCCTCCATGGCTCCCAGCTCCCGTGGATGAAGTTGACACTCGGCTGAGCATTCAAGGCCTGTGTGATTGGGGCCAACATCCCCCGCCTCATCTCACTGTGTTCCCCTATATTCACCTCCAGTGAAACTCTGCCCAGACTTCTCTTTCCCTGTTCTCCTCCATCCAGGCCCAGCTGCAACACTTCCTCCTTCAGGAAGCCCTCCTGGATGTCCCTGTCCCACCCCAACCTGAGAGCCACCTTTCCACCCTGCACTGCAGTGGCACCTAACAGGTGTTCCATCTTTGTTGAATTCTTAAGTGAAAATGCATGTGTATTTGCTTGTGTGTGTGTGTGTGTGTGTGTGTAAAAGAGGGAGAGAGAGAGAATGGTTTGTGTGGCTGCGTGACTGGGTATTGGGGGTGACCGTGTGTGACTGTGAGCCTGTGTACATGTTTGTGGGAGCAGGTGTGAGTTCTGCATAGCTATGTGGCGGGAAGGGCTGTGCCTGGGGCCCAGTGGGAGTTCATGCCCTAGAGACCATTGTTCCTTTAGCCAGCTCTCCCCACCCCCACCTGCAGGGAAACCCAGGCTCCAGCCAAGTGCATTATCCAAGCCGTGACCACAGGCTCTGGGAGTGATCTGCAGGGGAGACAGGGGTCACCTCTGCTCCAGCCCAGCCTGCCTGAGCCTCCATCACTGTCTGAGTCAGCACCGCCCTGCCCTGGGTGGGGAGAAGGGCAGGCGTGGGCCAAGCCAGTTTTCCCCTCCAGGACCCTTGCAGGACAAGCGGGCCAGGCGTGGGCTCCTGCAGCCTAGGCCAGGTTCCTCCCTGACTTTCTTTGTTGGACTCTGGGTCCACAGTTCCCGCTCCGTGGGCCTCTGTCTCTTCGTCTGTGAAATGGGAGGATGTTCCCTGCTGTGGTTGTCAGCTTAACGTTCAACACAGTGACTGGCCACCCACAGACTGCCAGGGCCTGGGCTAGAGACTGGAACCCAGCTCACAGGGTCGCAGCCTGCTAGGAGAGACAAAAGAGAAGACAGGTCAGTTCAGAGTAGTGGGCATCTTGATGGGCATGGTTGCACAGTGCCTGGGAAGTCAGGAGGCAAGACGGACCACCTCTGCCCACAGGAGCCATCGGAGGCCCACCAGGTCGGTCTTAACGTGCAAGTGCCCTCCCAGGGGTGAGAGAGGCTGAGGAAAGGGCATCGCAGGCAGTGGGAACGGCAAGAGGGAAGGCTTGGTGCAAACAAGAAATGAAGTGTGGATGGTGGGGATGAGGCTGGCAGAACGGGGCCAATCACAGAGGGCCTGGACGGGGACCTGACCCATAGGCACTGGAGCAAGCAATGGATAAGACTCGAGGGAAAACAGGGGCAAATGAGGAGAGGCAAGGGAATAATAGGTGCAGAAGGGCTTCTTGAACTCCAAAGCAATGGTCTCATGATAGAACCCCATGTTCATCATGAACACACAAAATGCTTATTGAATGAATAAATGAATGAATGAATGAATGAACGAATATGACATTGAAAGACAGGGCATCAGGCTGGGTGTGGTGGCTCACACCTGTAACCACAGACTTTTGGGAGGCCAAGGCAGGTAGATAGCTTGAGCTCAGGAGTTCGAGACCAGCCTAGGCAACATAGTGAGACCCCCATCTAAATACACACACACACACACACACACACACACAATTAGCCAGGCATGGTGGCATGCACCTGTAGTCCCAGCTACTCCATGGGCTGAAGCAACAGGACCCCTTGAGTCCAGAAGTTTGAGGCTGCACTGAGCTATGATCACGCCCCTGCACTCCAGCCCAGGCAACAGAGCGAGACCCTGTCTCAAAAAACAGAAAGAGAGAGAGAGGGCATGGGAATAATCTGAGTTGAATTGTTAAAAAATACACTCCCAGACCGTGCCTCGGAGATGTTGCAGCTTCAGGCCTTAGGATGGATGTGTAATTTTGATCAGCTTCCTCCAGGTGAACAACTTAAGCAAACCAGCATTTGGGAAGCCCCAGAAAGAGACAGGCACAGGCCTTAGGGTTGGCAGCTGTGAAATCCTGCCCCCTTCCTCCCTCATCCCATCATCTCCCACTTCTGATTCTGGGGACTCTGTAGGGGATATCTCTCCGCCTCCTGCCCTGGGAGTATGGTAGCCTGTGTTTGCAGGAGCTGGTCTCCTTTCTAGCTGGCAGGTTCTGGCCCTTTAAGACCTGGGAGGGGACAGGGCCAGGCTGGGCAGAGACAGTGACCACAGGTGCCAGGTGGTGAAGCTAAAAATACTGAGTGATGCGTCCGCCCAGGCTGCAGGAGCCAGTGGCTGGGGAGGGTGGGACGGAAGGCTCTGGAGTGTTTCTTTGCTGCTGGAGGAGGGGCAGTGGGGCAGTGAGGCTGGGTGGGGTCACCTTGGGGACTTAGAGAAATCTGTGGCTGCCCCCAGCCAACCCTGCCCCGCCTCTCCCAGCCTTGCTCCAGCCCCTGGTAGGCTCCAGGATTCACTCCTAGAATAGCTGACTGCCACGTTTCACAGCCCCGGGCAGGCTAATTCTGGTGCATCCCGCTTCTGTGTGATCCTGGGGAAGTCACTTCTCTTTGGGTCTCTGTAAAATTAAAGAGTTGGACTTTCTCAGGCATTTGTAGGGAAAGAAAGGCAACGAAGCGGGGCAGGTGACCAGTTCACTCCTTTGTGGATTCAGTACATTTCCCCTGAGGCTCCCTGCCAACTGGATGCTGAGGCCACTGCAATGAATGTGACACAGCCATGTCCCTGGAGGGACTTGCAGCCTAGTGAAGACAAAACAACACAGGCTCGAACAGACAGCGCAATGTGCTATAATAGAAGTGTGAGCACTGTGCCCTCAGCTTCTGTTGTGGGACGATGCAAGAGACAGCCCCACAGGGAACACATCTGCATTTGATGAAAATTTGTCAGCAAACGCATCACCCACAGTGATGTTCACCAGCCACCTACATCTGGTGTTTTGATGTATTAATTAAGGTGAGCCAAGCTGTTGGAATAAATAAGCTTGGCAATCATAATGGCTCAACACAGAAGAGCCTTATGTTCTGTGTGTGTGTGTGTTGGCAGGGGGTGGTGATGGAGGAGACTCTGCTCCACGTGATCTTTCAGGGATCCAGGCTCCTCTCATCTTGTGACTCCATCATCACCCATGGCCACTGCTGGATCTTTTGCATCCAGCTTGCAGATGAAGAACAAGAGTGGAGACCACACATGAGGTTTTTATGAAGCAAAGCTGGAAATGGCCTCCTTTACTTCTGCCCACATGCATTGGCCAGAACAGCTCATTGCAAGAAAAGCTGGGAAATGTAGTCCAGTCCACATGAAAGCATCCAGTACATAATAGATGCCCAATGTGCTCGTTCATTCATTCACTCAACAAATTTCATTGCATAGCTTTTGTGGGCTAGCACCAGAAACTGGACTGAAAATACTATCCCTGCTGTCATGGGGTTTATATCTAATGAGGGAGTCAAACAAAACACAAGTGAACAAATCGTCAAGGTTCAAAGCCCACTGCGAAGGAAATTACCAGGGATGCTGGAGACAGCCGCTTTGCATACGGTAAACAGGGAGGTGATGACATTTCATCTGAGATCTAGAGAATGAGAAGGAGCCAGCAGTGGGGAGAGGGGTGGTAACAGCAGCTTGGGCAAAGCAAATTGAGAGCAACAGGTAGGCAGGGGCATGGAGAGGGCTCAGTGTGGCTGAGGCAGAGCAAATGATGGGGACAGTGACAAGAGGCAGGGCATGAGGGACAGGAATAGCCAGGCCACACAGACCTTGGCACCCATGGCGAGTAGAATGGATTTTGTTCCAGATGGAATTGGGAAGCCTTTGAGAGCTCTTAAATGGGGGAAGTTGTATGATCTGATTGGCATTTTAAAGGATATTTCAGGCTATGCTTGGGAGAATCAATGGTGATAGGCCAGAATGAATAGAGGACGCCAACGTGGAGGTCATGGTGGTGGGCAGCTTTGGAGATGGGGAAGTAAGAAAGTGCTTTCTGAACATATTTAGGAGGCTGGGCACAGTGGTTCATACCTATAATCCCAGCACTTTGGGAGACCATAAATAGAGGATTGCCTGAGCCCAGGAACTCCAGACCAGCCTGGGCAACATAATGAGACCCTATCCCTACAAAAGAAAAATTCTAAAATTAGCCAGGCATGGTGTCATGGGCCTGTAGTCCCAGCTACTCGGGAGGCTGAGTTGGCAGGGTTGCTGGAACCCAGGAATTTGAGGCTGCAGTGAGCTGTGATTGTGTCACCATACTTCGGCCTAGGTGACACAGCAAGACCCTGTCTCTAAAACAAAGATAAAGTAAAAACAAACATTGGAGACAAATCCACAGAATTTTCTGATGGGTTAGAGGAGGAAGGGAACCTGGGGTGATCTGGGCTTTGGGAATTACAGAGGTGCATGTATAATGGGCAGATTCGATGGAGGGAAGAGGCTTGGTGAGAACATCAAGAATACAGACTCATGCCTGTAATCCCAGCACTTTGGGAGGCTGAGGCGGGCGGATCACTTGAGGTCAGGAGTTCAAGACCAGCCTGACCAACACAGTGAAACCCCGTCTCTACTAAAAATACAAAAATTGGCCAGGCATGGTGGCACACACCTGTAGTCCCAGCTACTAGGGAGGCTGAGGCAGGAAAATAGCTTGAACCTGGAGGGCGGTGGTTGCAGTGGGCGGAGATCGTACTACCGCACTCCAGCCTGAGCAACAAAGCGAGAC